GCTTGACAGTGTCCCCATGCTTAAAGACTGTCCTGATGAGGTCTGTGGTACTAGTAACAAATGTGACTTTTTAAATAATATATGGCAAAATCTGTGAATATTTGGAAGGTCTGCCTGCATACCTCAGTAAAACAACATTTTCCAAAAGACTAATGCGTGTTGTTACAAAATTAAGCATGGATGGGTAAAAGATTAATTCAAAGTATGCGATAAATTAATGGATTTTTAAAACAACTATATTAAGGAATAATTAACATACAATAAACTGCACATATTTAAAGTGTATGATCTGATAAGTTTTGATATATGTGGATACCTGTGAAACCAGCATCATAACAAAGATAATGAGCACATCTAAAAACTCAAAAGTTAGCTCATGCTCCTTTGTATTCTCTCACTTGCCCACTTGTTTCTCCTCTCCAAACCATCCCCAGGAAAACCCTGATCTGTTTCCTGTCCCTATAGATTAGTTTGCATTTTCTACAATTTTATAAAAATGGAATCACATAGGCCAGGCGTGGTGGCTCACGCCTGTAATCCCAGCACTTTGGGAGGCTGAGGTGGGCAGATCGCGAGGTCAGGAGATTGAGACCATCCTGGCTAGCACGGTGAAACCCTGTCTCTACTGAAAAATACACAAAATTAGCCAGGCATGGTGGCAGGTGTCTGTGGTCCCAGCTGCTAGGGAAGCTGAGGCAGGAGAATGGCCTGAACCCACGAGGCAGAGCTTGCAGTGAGCCAAGATTGTGCCACTGCACTCCAGCCTGGGCAACACAGTGAGACTCCATCTCAAAAAAAAAAAAAAAAAAGGAATCATATAGTATGTGCTTTTTGTCTAGCTTCTTTTACTCAGCATAATCATTTTAAGATTTATCCATATTGTTGCATGTAGTATTTCACTGCATGGATACACCACAATTTATCCATTCACCTACTGATGGGTATTTGGTTTGTTTCTAGTTGTTGGCTATTATAAATAAAGATGCCTTAAACATTCACGTACAAGTCTCTGAATGTACATAGGCTTTCATTTCTCTTCAGTAAATACCTAAACAGAATGGCTGGGTCATATGGCAGGTGTATGTTTAACATTTTTAGAAACTGCCAAAATGATTTCCAAATGCGTTGTGCCATTTTGCAGTCTCACCAGCAGTGAATGAGAGTTCCATTTGCTCCACATCCTCATCAACACTTGGTATGGTCAGTTAAATCGCCTGGAAACAGTTTGATTCTCTTGGGTTTGCTTTTGTGGTTGGTTAGATGGGTCTGCAACAGCACTTAGTCTTGGCTGGTTATTTCCCATTACTGAGGCAAGACCTCCTGACTACTCAATGTCCCATGAATTATGAGTTTCTCCAGTCTGCCTGGCAGGAAGAAGCACTATTTCTGGCCCTATGTGAGCACAAGGCACAGTTCCCTCTAATCATGTCAGATGGTTATTTGCCACCTTTGAGTAGCTTTCTCACACATACATGCTGATCAGTACTCTACTGAGTACTCTAGGTCTTTCTTAGAGTAGCTCTTTCCTCTCTGGTGTTCTTTCCTATGAGCTCTCTTTTCTTGGTCTCCCTGGACCCTCAGTTCTGTCTCCTTAATTCAAGGAGGTCCACCAGACTCTACTTCAGTACCCTTCCCTATGTCACTTTCTGAAAATTTCTGAAGGAAACAGGCTAAGGTTATCATAGGGCTCCCCTTGTTTGTTCCCATCTCTCTGGGATTACTGTCCTTCATTGCCTAATGTTCAATGTCTTAAAATCCATTGTTTCATGTATTTTGTCTGTTTTTATTTATTGTTTCATGCAGGAGGGTATGCCTGGGTTCTGTTACTCTATCTTGGCCATGAAACCTAAGTCTCCCATTCTTTTTTCGGTCCAGGAAACTGAGACCCAGAGCAACAAATTGGCTTGCCCAAGTTTGTACCAGTTAATGAAGAAGCCACAGAGAGAAATCAAGACCTCCTGACCTCTAAATCTGAAGCTGAGACAGGGCTGTTTCTTATCTTTCCAGCTTCAGAGATGGCTTGACAACAGAAGGTTAATTAATCAGCCACAGACAAAGTAAATATGCATGACCTACAGTCTCTGAAAGGTACAGACCAGCCTGCCCACCCATCCTTGATCAATCAGCAAATATTTATTGTGCACCGATGTGGAATGCCTCATGTGAGACATTGCTGGGGACAGAAAATGATGCGCCACTATCTCTGCGGACAAGGTCTCAAGTCTAGTTGGGAAAAAGCTTGCATGCGAAACATTTCCATCTTTACACTCTTATATACTGTGTCACTCAACTCCCCAGCCAAAAGAGTCAAGAGGCATCGTAATTTGTGGGCTTTTCTCAGGAAAGGCTTCCCAAGGGAGGGAGGACTTGGAATCAGAAGATGGGTGATATGCCCTTACTGAGGAGGACAGTAAAGGCAGGACATTATCGCCATATGGCTCTTGTTAAAAATATACTCATAACTTCAGAGGGTCTTTGGCTATGTGGAAAGCCTAAGCCTTGGGATAAGGGAAGAAGGTAATATTGTCCCTAACCAGAGGGTAGACTAAGGGATTTGATGGAAGTCCTGTGGTGAGGAAGATGCGTCATGGGGCACCCCCGTCTCCTACTGCAGTGCTATGACCAGGGCTGCCTCTACTCTTTCTCAGCAAAAACAAATACTACCAAGTATTTTTTAATACTTTAGATTTTTTAAAATATGAGAACAGAGTATTCCTGCTTTCTTTATCTTTTTCCTGTCTCTTTCCACCCATTCTTGCTTCATAACTTTTAACAGGACCATTGCTATTCACTTTAGAGGACATAACATGTTACAAACTAACAAACAAAAATATATACATACATATATATATATATATATATGCAAGTGTCTTACCAGGTCACGAAGAGCTGGGCTGTCCACTTGAAGCTGCAGGACAAACACTACAGACCCAAGTCATTTTAATAATTCAGTGGGCATATATTGAGCACCTACTATATGCCTGGAATTATGTTCAGGGTTGGGTACTCACAGGTGTCTAAGGTCCGTGGCTTGCTTTATCTAGTTCTTGGTCTAGAGGGGAAGACAGACACTTGGACAATAATGACACAGGTCAAATTCTGAAATAGGAGTAAGTACAAAGTGCTCTGGGAACATAAAAGAGAATGATGAGCTAAGATGCAAAGACGAAGAAGTAGGTCAGTGTCTGGGCGGGTGCTCAGGAGCAGGCATTTCAACTGGGTCCTGAAGAATCATCAGAAATTTAACTGGCAGTAAAGGAGAGACAAAGAAGAGAGGTCATTGCAGGTAAAGGAAATAACATGAATAGTGGCAGAGATATGTGTGTGTGTGTGTGTGTGCACGTGCGTGCCTATCTGGGGAATGAAATGGCTGGACCATGGGACAGAGTAGCAGATGGGTCTAGAAAGCAGATTGAAGCCATAAATACCACACTAAAGGGTTTGCCACGTACCCTGAAAAGCAGGTCTTCTGCCTCCTAAACAAACATATTATTTTCTGCCACCACTCCCTTTCCTACTTGCCTGGTCTGTGCCCTCCCATTATCTTCATTTCCTACCCAAAGTGATCAACCCTTTTTTTTTTTTTTTTTTTTTTACCACATCATGCATTTACACATTTACCAAATTGACTGGGTCCCTTCCGTGTACCAATATCATGTCTCCTTGAAACACTCATTTGTACCTGCTGCTTGTTGAAGCATGAAACCCAGAGACTATGGTCTCCATCCTAGTGCCTCCCACTGCCATCACTCCTGTGCTCTTCTGGGGTTTGGCTAAGACCTCTGGAAGTCAGCCACTGCATACAGGGTCAGTATTCCAACATACTTGCCAAGACCCTAGTTTATACTCAATGCCATATTTCTCACTAATATTTTTCTTCTGGAAAATATAATTATATTCACTAAAATATGTTATTTATTTATGTTAACATGTAATGAGTTATTTAATTAATAAATATTTTAAAATTTTTCCCAGGCTGGAGTGCAGTGGCGTGATCTCGGCTCACTACAACCTCCGCCTCCACCTCCTGGGTTCAAGCGATTCTCCTGCCTCAGCCTCCTGAGTAGCTGGGATTGCAGGCGCTCGCCACGACACCCGGCTAATTTTTGTACTTTTAGTAGAGACGGGGTTTCGCCATGTTGGCCAGGCTGGTTTTGAACTCCTGACCTCAGGTGATCCGCCCGCCTCAACCTCCCAAAGTGCTGGGATTATAGGCGTCAGCCACCGCGCCCAGTCTAATTTCTAATACAGTAAATAGCAATAGCTATAACCCATATAAGCAAAATGTATTTGGTTCCTCAATAATTGGTATACGTTTAAAGGGATCCTGAGACCAAAAAGTTTGAAAACTGCTGTGTAATTCTCAATAAAAATAAATAAAAATGAGCAATGACTGCTACTCACAACATTTCTAAATTTCACAAACATAGAGCAAAAGAAGCCAGACACAAAAGCGTATATACTATTATATCCCACTTATATAAAGTTCAAAAACAAGAAAAACTAACTTATGATGTTAGAAATCAGGATGTTGGTTACATTGGGGTAAGAAAGAGGGGTAGTAATTTAGAAAGGAAGCATGACGGGATTTCTGAGATGCTGCCAATGTTCTATTCCTTGGCCTGAGTGCTAATTTAAAAAGTATGCTCAATTTGTGAAAATTCATTGGTGTTAAGTGCACTTTTCTGTTATGCGTCATTTGCTTTGTTTTTTAAACATTGAAAAAATATGCCCCTGCAAGTCTTAGCTCTGCCATTTTCTAGCCATGAGTTGGAAAAATTACTTGACTGTGTATCATTTATTCAACAAACATTTCAACATTTCTTGAAGATCTATCCAGTGCTGTGTACTGTGTTATACATTACAGATAGCAGCAGTATGTAATGCACAGTCCCAGGTTCATCTAGTGCAGCGCAAGACAGACAATTAACTTAGCCCACTTTGTGTTGCTATAAAGGAATACCTGAGGCTGGGTAATTTATTTTAAAAATTTGACTCACGGTTCTGCAGACTGTACAAGAAGCATGGCCATAGCATCTACTTAGCTTCTGGTGAGGTCCTCAGGCTGCTTCCATTCATGGTGGAAGGCGCAGGGAAGCTAGACTGTGCAGATATTCCATGGCAAGAGAGGAAGCCAGAGAGAGTGAGGGGAGGTGTCAGGCTCTTTTTAACAACTAGTTCTCAGGTAACTAAGCAAGAACTCACTCACCCACCCCAGGGAAGGCATTAATCTATCCCTGAGGGACCCACCCCCATGACCTAAATTTCTCCCATTGGGCTGAACCTCCCAACATGATCAAACTGCGGATCGAATTTCAACATGAGCTTTGGTGGGGACACATATCCAAACCATAGCAACAACCATTAAAAATATCACGGCCGGGCACAGTGGCTCACGCCCATAATCCCAGCACTTTGGGAGGCCAAGGCAGGTGGATCACCTGAGGTCAGGAGTTCGAGACCAGCCTGACCAACATGGAGAAACCCCGTCTGTACCAAAAATACAAAATTAGCCAGGCGTGGTGGAACATGCCTGTAATCCCAGCTACTCGGGAGGCTGAGGCAGGAGAATCGTTTGAACCCGGGAGGCAGAGGTTGCAGTGAGCTGAGATTGCACCATTGCACTCCAGCCTGGGCAACAAGAGTGAAACTCTGTCTCAAAAAAAAAAAAAAAAAAAAAAATCGTCACGGGGGTGTTAATTCTTACAAAAAGAGAGGTACAGCATGCTGCAGAGTATATAACAATGGACTCAACCTTACCCAGTGAGTCCAAAATGAGGAGATGACACTTAGCTGAACTGTGAAAGACAAGTAGGACTAGTCCAACGGAATGGTAAGAGTTACTTGGCATCTCCATTTGGCTGCCTAATAGGCATCTCAACTTATCGTGGTCACACTGAACTCTTGATCTTCCCCCTCCCCGCCCTCTCCACTTCATCCACCTTCTCCTCCTGAGGTGTTCACCATCTCAGGAATGGCAACTTCATCCTATTCATTCCTCAGGCTAAAACCTTCAGAATCATCCTTAATGTCTCCCTTCCTGTCACACCCCATATGCAGTGCCAGCTTCACCTGAAGCTAATGAAGTTTTAGCCTCAGGAACCCTCACATTCCAAGGCCCTAGAAAGGCCCCTAGGAATGTGTTCACATTGTCATATACTTTTGTAAAATTTGGGACAGTAAGATATTCTTACTGCAGTCAGTTAAGACCACTGTCTCTTTCCATTCCAAATTTCATTCCATCATGTTTCCCCTTGTATTAGGTGCTGTTGGAGTGACCAAGGACATTTTTGGGATCCTGCTTAGGTAAAGTTGAGTTAGGGATACATTTAGCTGGGCTTTGGCAAGATACATTTATGTCGTTTGCAGTCACTTCCTTGCATACTGCATACTGCTGTCCCAGTAAAAGGTTGGCTTCCTGGAACACCGCTTACAGCCAATGTGCTGACTCACCTGGTGTAGTGACAGAACAGTAGAGAACCAGAAGTCATATTGTGATATGAATCTGTCCTATGGTACTTGACACTGGAAGCATGGAGGTAGTGGAGGTGACACAAGGTTTGAAATGTACACAGCCAGAAGCTAGACTGTGGAAAATCCTTCTAAAACATAGACTTGTATGCAGAAGATTTGGTTCTTACTGATGCCTAGATTAAAATGGGATTTTTCATGCCGAGGCAGGCGGATCACTTGAGCTCAGGTGTTCGAGACGAGCCTGGGCAACATGGCAAAACTCCGTCTCTACAAAAAAAATATAAAAATTAACCAGTCTTGGTGGCGTGAACCTGTATTGTAGTCCCAGCTAGTTGAGAGGCTGAGGTGGGAGGATTGCTTGAGCCTGGGAGGTCGAGGCTGCAGTGAGCTGTGATTGTGCCACTGCACTCCAGCCTGGGCAACAGAGCAAGACCCTGTCTCCAAAAAAGGGATTTATTAACGGTTAAGAATATACTGGACAATGCAGCATACAGAATTATAAGTGCAGCATACTCTTTTTTTTATGGGAATATCATTAAATAGAATTGATCTGAATTCCTATGTTTATAGGACACAGACCTGAGGCAGTACTACAACCAGTGAGCATGTGTGTGAAGTCACGGGTTTTATGAATCCCAGCATATCAAATCACGTGTTAGAGTACCTGACTCATCTTGTCCTGACAAAGTCTACCTGATTGGCATAATTTTTCTTATTTTATATACATACTCACATTTGTACTTTATTTTGTATGTTTTTTAAACAAGGCCCACAAACTAGATAAGTTTCAGATCCTACATATAGGATATGGCCCTGCTCACACTTTATATCTAACCAGCAAGTCAAGATGGTTATACTGTCAAAATATGTCCATAATCCAGCCCCTTCTCACTACCTCGAATGCTACTGCTCCGGCCCAAGCCACCACCATCTCTCACTTGGATTACTGTACTATCCTCCCGAACAGTCTTCCTGCTTCATCTTCCCCTACCCACATCTTCCTGTGAGTCTACTCTCAACATTGCATAGAGGGATGTTTGAATAAAATTAATTAGATTATATAACTATTCTGCTCAAACCCCACCAATAGCTTCACAATTCACTCGGAGAAAAAAAGCCATACTCCATAAAGTGGCCTCCCAGCCCCTTCACAGTCTAGGCTCCGGCTGTCTCTTCAGTACCATCTCTTACTGTGCTTGGCCTTGCTTACATCACTTCAGCCATACCATCTTCTTTGCCATTCCTCTAACACAGCATGCAAGAGTCCCCCTCATAAGTTTGCAATGACGACTTCCTCTCCCTAGAATGTTCCTCCCTCGGATATCCACATGGCTTATTCTCTCACCTTCTTCGAGTCTTTGCTTAAATATCACCCTCTCAAGGAGGCTTACCTTGAGCTTGCCATTGAAAATTTCACCAACCCACCCTCTTCTGTACTGTAGATCCTGCTTACCTTGCTCTCTACCTTTTCTTTTTTCCATAGTACTTATTACCTTCTAAAATACCATGCGGTTTACTTATTTATTGCCTTCATTAATTTTTCTCTCTCTCCTCTGGCTAGAATGCAAGCTCCACAAGCATAGGAATCTCTATTTTGTTCAGTGCTATATCCCCAATACTTAGAACAGTGCCCGGCACCAGGTAGGCACTCAATAAGTATTTGTTGAGTGGATAAATAAATGAATAAAGAGTTGTCCATGCAGAGGGAGGAGCGTGTGCAAAGATCCAGAGATGAAAGAGTGTTTGGCTTATTCAAGAAACTTAAAGGATCCTCAAGTAGAAAGATCAAAAATGAGAGTGGCTCAAGCTGAGTCTGGCGAGACAGGCAGGAACAAGAGGATGAAGGGCTCTGTAGACCAGAATAAAGATACTGAATTTTAGAGCAAAGAAAATCCATCAAGGAGTCATAAACAAGGGAGTGGTGTGATCGTAGTTTGGAGAGGCCATTGGCAGTTGTGTAGGAAACAGATTGAGGGTGGGCAGACTGGAGGCAGAGAGACCAGTTAGGAGGCTAGAAGAGTAGTCCAGGCAAGAGTATACAGTGTCAGACCAGTTTGGGTGGGGACAGTGGATATGGAGAGAAATTGAAAAATAACAAAAGTATTGAGGAAGTAAAATAAAAAAGCTCTGAATATGAACCAAAGGAAGAAGGGGTTTTGATAAGAAGGGGATGATAATCTGTGCTCACTGCAGCTATAAGGTTAAGAGAATAAAGACTGAAAATTGTCTATTGGGATTTAGTGACAGGGAAATAATTGGTGATCTTGTCAAGATCATTTGCCACAAAATGGAGATGGTGAAAGTCAATCTGGAGTGTAATGCCAAGTGAGTGAGGTCTGAGAACATGGAGGCCACTCCTAATATCTGCAAAGCACCTGACACCTAGGAGGCTCTGAGTAGGTGCCACTTACCTCTCTCCCTTCTCTGTATTATGATGTTGCAGAACTGTGACAGTATTGCTAATTAAACAAACTCCAAGTAAAGAAAACATGTTAACATATTAAAATAATACCATATGTAGTTAAATATTTACTATTTCTTTGGCATCATATTTCTTAAGGTAAAATATTAAATTCAGATATTACTGAGGGAAACAGCTGGTACTGAATATTCAAGCTCCCAGAGGAACACATTAATGAATCATTTAAAAAACTGGACAGTTTCACATTTAATCTGTTCAAGGAATAGAAACACAGTCTTTTCTCAATTATTGTCTTATGAAAGGAATATAAATTTATGATTAGTCTGTTCCCAAAATGGAAATGGCCTTTTGACATTATAGTAATAAATGTTTGTTATAAGAAATTCAGGCATTAACTTAGTGTATAAAGAAGAAACAGGGTACAGAGTTTCAATGTTGCAAGAAAAGAACTGTTCTGTGGGATGCATGGAGGTGGTGGCTATACTACAGTGTAAATATACTTGATGCCAGCAAACTGTAAATTTACAAATTGTTAAAATGAAAAATTTTATGCTGTGTATATTTTACCACACTTTTTTTTTTTAAAGTACCTTTTTTAAAAAAGAAGAGAAGGGGCCGGGCGTGGAGGCTCACGCCTGTAATCCCAGCACTTTGGGAGGCCAAGGCGGGTGGATCACTTGAGGTCAGGAGCTTGAGACCAGCCTGGGCAACATAGTGAAACCCCATCTCTACTAAAAATACAAAATTAGCTGGGCATGGTGGCATGCGCCTGTAATCTCAGCTACTCGTGAGGCATGAGAATTGTTTGAACCTAGGAAGCGGAGGTTGCAGTGAGCCAAGACGGTGCCATTGCACTCCAACCTGGGTGACAAGGGCTACACTCCATCAAAAAGAAGAAGAAGAAGGAGAAAGAGAAGAAGATCCTCTAATTCCACTGCCTAAATGGGCATATAGGATTTGTCCTTCATTCATTCAATAGATATTTATTGGATGTCTGCTATGTGCCAAACACGTGTCTAGATGCTGTGGATACATTAGTGAACAAATTAAGGTCCTCTCCCTTGTGGAACTTACTTCTTATGGGAGAGAAAGAAAATATATAAATATACAGGGAAGTATGTATTATATCAGATGTGATAAGTGATATAGAGAAAAATAAGGCAGAGAAGGGAGATAATGAGTGATGGGGAGCCTGCAATTTTATATA